TTTTTCTTTAATGAAGCTTATAGTCCTTGGTTTTAGTTCTAGGTCCATGATCCACCTTGAGTTGGTTTTTGTATATGGAGTGAGGTGTGGATCTTGCTTGAGTCTTCTGCAGGTATTTTTCTGATTTTGCCAACACCATTTGTTAAAAAGGCTGTTGTTTCCCCAATTAATTGATTACATCTCTTTGTCAAAAATCAGGTGCTCGCTTCGGCAGCACATATACTAAAACTGGAACGATACAGAGAAGATTAGCATGGCTCCTGCGCAAGGATGACACGCAAATTCGTGAAGCGTTCCAAAAAAAAAAATCAGTTGACCATAGGTAGATGAACTGATTTCTGGGTTCTCAATTCTCTTCCATTGATCTATGTGTCTATCATTGTATCAGTACCATACTACATTACAGCAGTGTAGTAGGATTTGCAATCGGGGAGTGAGATGCCTCCTACCTTTTTTCTATTTTTAAGGAGTGTTTTGCTTATTTGAGGCTTCTTTCCATTCCAAATAAAACTGGAGATTACCTTTTCCATCTCGTTGAAGAATAGTATTGGTATTGCGTTGAACATGTAAATTGCCTTTGGTAGTATTGCCATTTTCACAATATTGAGTCTTCCTATCCATGAGCAAGGGATATTCTTCCACTTCTCCAGGTCGTTTTTTTTTTTTTTCTTGTAGTAATGTTTTGTAATTTTCTTTCAATAGATCCTTTGTGCTTCTGGTTAGATTTACTCCCAAGTATTTAATCTTGTGATTAGCTATTGTGAAGGGGATTGTTTTTCTTAGCTCCAGCTCTGTATTCTCTTTGTCACTGTAGAGAAATCCAACTGATTTTTGTATGTTGATCTTGTATCCTGCTACTTTGCTGATTGGTCAACTATGTCCAATAGTTTTCTTGCTGAGTCTTTGGGGTTTTCTAAGTATACTATCATATCATCTGCATTGAGAGATAATTTTACTTCCTCTTTGCCAATTTGGATGCCTCTTATTTCCTTCTCTTGTCTTATTGCTATCACTAAGACTTCTAGTACAATATTGAATAGGAGAGGTGATAGTGGGCATCTTTGCCTAGTTCCTGCTCTTAAAAGGAATGCCTTTAACCTCTCTCCATTGAGAATAATGTTGGCTCTCCTGACTTCTCATTTTGAGTATTGTTATTTGTACCATCGAGTTGGAAACAACCCATGGCCGGGCAGTAAATTACATGGGAGATGGCCCAGCTTTCTCCTGCAGAGCAGCTGGTGGATTCAAACCGTGTGCCTCCTGGGTTGGCAGTGCAGCTCCTTACCACCATGCCACAAGAGCCCCTTCAATTTGAATATTGGATGAGGGTATTTGCATTCTGAAATTTCATCCATACCTGCCCCCAAATACTAATGTGCTCCAAGGGTACCTGAGATTCCTTCTTGTAATTTGTCATATCCTACCTAGTTATGAGTTTATACCCTGGCCAGGGAAACTCTTAACATCTCTTATTCTGCTATGGATGTTTGCTTTTTTGAAACATATTACTCATATCCTGCCCAATTTGAGAATTCATTTTCTGTTTCGAAGAAGACAGAAGCAAAAACAAAACCAAAACAAACCGGAAAAAAAAAAACCAACCCTACCCCAGCTGCATGATTTTTGTTTTAGTTTTTTTTTCCATATGGTCAGGCTTTAGTGCCACTCATCTTCCCTCCATATTGGTTCTTTCCTCTTTTATCCTTCCTGCCTTCAAAAAAGAAGAAAGTGTATTTGATAAGGGATGAGTAAACATGATAGTTCATGAATTACATTTTTTGTGTTGTTGATTGCCTTCGAATAGAGCACAACTCATAGCCACCCTATGAACAAAAGGGCCTGAAGCCCCTCTACAACCATCAACATTTATCAAAGTTCATAGAGTTTCTGGAGGCATGTTATTTAGGAAGTGGATGCCACTCCTGCTTCCAAGAATTACATTAATCAATGACAATTATGTTATAAAGCATAAAATGTCCCGAATGAGTACACTTTATGATTTACACACTTCCACTCAAATTATAAAATTTGGAAAATAAAGGGTGTAATTAAAAAACTCAGTGCTAGACGATGTCTTAATTATGTAGTGCTGCTACAGCAGAGATACAATTCAATTGCATTAAGAAATATAAATTTCTTCTCTTACAGCTTAAGAAAGTGAAAATCTAAATTCAAGGTACCAGCTCTCTGGTGCCTCACTCCCACTTCTAGAGCAAAGTCTGCATTTCCTTCAGCATCTATTAGCCAGGAGTTCCTTGGGACCCCTGGGTCTTATCCTTCCCTGGAGCTGAGAAGTTTCTCAGGACACAAGCTAAAAGGACACACTCCACTCCTGGCGATCCCTTGTTGGTGAAATGGAGAACACTTCTTATGCTCACTTTTCTCCCCTTTTATATCTTGTGAGATGAAAGACGTTACAGGCCACCATAGGGAAGCTCCCTTACATATAGGCTCAGTGCTGTCACGGGACTGGAGGGGGTTACATTTCACCCTTTATAGCTGTTTGGTTTGTCTGCTCACTACATTACATGTCCATGATCATGATCTTCCACATATTGTCATTGTTGTTTTTATGTGCAATTAAGTCAGACTCTCAACCCCTAACTCCCTCCAGTGGTTTTTCAGAGTTTATAAATCACGCAGGGAGAGATTGCCTATCTTTCTCCTGAGGAGCAGGTAGACTTGAACTTCCTGCCTTTAGGTTGGCAGTGCAACTTCTTACATTAAGCCATGACAGCTCCCTACATTTTATCATTGTTGATGTTGTTGTGTGCGGTTGAATCAGAACCAACCCATAGCTTACCGTCCAGTGACTTTTCAGGGGCAGTAATGTGAGCGGCATCCACTTCCTAAACAACATGCCTCTGGAAACTCTATGAAATTTGAGAAACATCAATAGTTATTGAAAAGCTTCAAGCCTTTTGTTAATAGGGTCACTATGAGTCATGCTTGACTCAAAGGCAGTCAACAAAACAACAGTCTCACAGGAGATTGCCTATCTTTCTCCCACAGAGCAGCTAGTGGATTGGAACGGCGTGCCTTTGGGATTGCAGCCCAGATTTTTACTTCTGGGCTGCCAGAGCGCCATTACATACATATATTTTGGTGGGACACAAGTGAATTTGTGATTGGTGGGATGAGGTTATACAATAAAAGAAAAAAGAAAAGAAAATGTATTTATTTTTTAAGAGTCTTACAATTATAAAAGAGTTACAGATACAGCACAGAAAAACTTTCTGAATGAGTTTTTTTTTTAGTTTTTTTTTTAAAGTAAACGTTTTATGTCGTGTAAGAAATAAAACAAAGAAATTCCATACATTCTGACTCACTTTCCCCTAATGGTAGTACCCTGAAAATCTGAGTAAAAGAGATAAAAACATTACTATAGTCAAGAATAACAACAGTAATATAGTCAAGATAGACAACATTTCCGTCACCACACAGATGCCTCATGTTGTCCTTTTCAAGCACACCTGCTCTCTCATGCCCTGTCCCTTCTTTATCCCCATTTCTGTTATTTTGTCATCTCAAGAATTGTATAAATTGCAGAGCTCTGTAAAGATAGCAAAACCTTTGAATTGTACTCTTTCATTGGGTGAAATTTCTGGCATGTGAATTATATCTCTATAAAGCTTTTACCAAAAAGAGAGAGAAAGAATATGCTCATTGGAATTGTACATTGTATATAACCTTTTGGATTGAATCTTTTTATCTGGAGACTCGTTCAAGTTGTGTGTCCTTTTTATTGTCAAGTTGTGTTTCATGTTATTGAGGTACCACAGTTTGTTTAATCTTTCACCTCCTGAAGGTTATCTGGAATAAGAAGTTTATAGTATAAAGTGCTCTAAAGCAGGATATAGTAAATAAAGCTGCACTAAGAATTTTTATGTAGGCTTTTGCATGATTATTGACCCCTGGGATAAGTGCCCAGTAGTGCAATTGCTGGGAAATATGATAGTTATATGTTTAGCTTATCCAGAAACTGCCAACTGCTTTTCAGAGTGACTGTATCATTTTATGTCCCCATCAGCAGTAAATGAGAGACCTATTTTTCTTTGTATCCTTGCCAATGTTTCATGTTGCCATTATTTTAAAAGTTTGGCCATGCTTATGAGATGTGTGACAACTCATTGTAGTTTTAATTTTTTAAAAAATGGATTTGCTCACAAAGTGGGACTGACATCAGGGTTGGGGTGAGATTGAGAAAGATTGGATTAATTATGTATACTGCATTGAAACAGATGAGGGAGAGAACTGTTTAGAAGCAATATATGATTGGGTATTATGGTTATGACAAGAGTCGAGAATGAAGGCTGCATAGTGGAGTGTACTGGGGGGGTTTATTGTATACCAATGAAAGAATTTTTCTTTTAATTTTCAAAGAGAAGAACAAACTGGGGAAGGGGTGGGCAGGGAGAAAAATGCAACAACAAATGAATGAAAATATGTACATACTCATGAAAATGAATTAAAAATATATAAAAAATTTGCATACATTGTGTTTCACACTATTCTTCATTCATAGTGTGTTTCGTACAGTCATTCCCATGAATTTTTTTGTATGAATTATGTTTTATAAAATCAACCACCATTGGACCTTGCCCATCATCACCTAATCCTTTCAAGTCTCCACGAATCCTTCCCATTTCCTTCACTCACTCCCTCCACCCACCAAACTGTACAACCCTGTGGTTTTGCCCCTACCTATCCTCACCCATCCATACATTGGAATACTATGCAGCACACAGGAGCAATGATTTTTAAAAAGTATTACATAACTTGGGAGAGACTGGAGAGCATTATGCTGAGTGAACTAACTCAGTCTCATAAGGACAAATACTGCATAACGTAATTATTGTAAAAATAGAAGGGTAACTAGTAAAACATGCATATGGTATTACTAGTCATAATGTCCAACATAATTTCATGGATATATTTGCTATCTGTTTATTTTTTTAAGTAAAACATTTCTTCATGTCTTTTGCCCAGGTTTTAATTGATTTTTTGCTTTTTAACTCTTAAGCTTTGAGAGGTTTTTTAAAAAATATTTCCTAGATACTAGTCCTTGGTAGATATTATTAAATATATTTAATTTTTAAATATGATAGACTTATTGCCAATAAAAATTATCAGTTGTTGTTGTTGTTGTTGTTGTTATGTGCCATCGAGTCACTTGCAATTCATAGCCACCCTATGTACAACAGCCCTAAACTCTGCTCTGTCCTGTGCCAATAGTACTGTCTCTGATACACCCATCCTGGTTTTACCCCAGTCACTGAATCAATCCACCTCATAGAGGGCCTTCCCCTCCTGCTCTGTCCCTCCACCCTCCCAAGCATGATGTCCTTCTCCAAGGACTGGTCTCTCCTTACAACATGTTGTTATCAGTATTCTTAAAAAAATATTAAATTTATTTAATTTTATAATAATATAGATGTTGTTGTTGTTGTTATGTGCCGTCGAGTCGCCTGCGACTCATAGCGACCCTATGTACAACAGCCCTAACTCCGCTCTGTCCTGTGTCAATCGCACTGTCTCTGACACTCCCATCCCAATTATCCCAGTCACTGAATCAATCCACCTCATAGAGGGCCTTCCTCTCCTGCGCCGTCCCTCCACCCTCCCAAGCATGATGTCCCTCTCCAAGGACCGGTCTCTCCTCACTACATGTCCGAAGTAAGTTAGACGGAGCCTCAAATATAATGAATAATATTAAAATAATTTTCTAGATACTAGTGCTTTGGCAGATTAGTGATTTGCAAGCAATTTCTCTTAGTATGTGGTTTGTCTTTTCACACATAATAATAAAAAGGGCTAGAGAAACCTTTTAAGATAAAAACAAGTATCTGTACAGTGATGATAACATTGTTCAGCCGACTAAACAGTGGTGAATATCATCTACATCTTTCACTCCTGTCTGATGTTAAAAAAACAACAACCAGTGCTTGCTTCGGCAGCACATATACTAAAATTGTAACGATACAGAGAAGATCAGCAAGAAGTGTTCCATATTTTGGACCCTGAAATTAACTGGTGTGTAACTAAGGCTAACTCCTTTCACCTACAAATTTTGTCTTTGGATACAAAGGTTAAGTGTGGATAGTCCTTACGGAGGGACTGTTTAAAAAGAGGCAGGGGGAAAACAAAACAAAACAAAACAAAACAAACCAACAACCAAAGAACAAGAATCTGTCTGCTAGAAGTTCAAGGTTTAGTGATGATCAGTGTAGAGTGCCGTGTTCTTTACTGAGCTTGAAGAGTAATTGCTTTTCTTGGTTATGGCCAGTTATTCTGCATGTTGTTTCCTAACAACACAGGCCAAGAAAAACTACGAGCAGAAATGCCGGGACAAGGATGAGGCGGAGCAGGCCGTCCACAGGAGTGCCAACCAAGTGAATCAAAAGCAACAGGAAAAGGTACCTGGAAGGAAAAGTGTGTTGTGAGAGGGCCGAAGGCCAGAAAATGCCCGAGACTTTGTACATCACACTAGAGCCAGTTAAGAATGTAAAAAAGCAATGAACCTGACTCCTGAACTCTTTCAGGTTATTTGGACCCCCCGCACCAGAAAAAACCCTTGACATGTGGTTCGGGATAGGAAAAGAATTGGGGAAACAGGATGTTGAGGTTGGGGGTGGGAGGATAAATGGTAGAGAGGGGGTCTGAGGCTTTTCATATTTTTATAAAACTCAGATCTCAGTTGTTGCTGGACTCCTTTCTTTTTGGGGTGGGCAATACATTTAACTTTAGAAATGCTGGACACCAAGATTGTCAGCAACTAGAGGGCGGGGATACTTAGGAAAACAGAGGCAGAATGCTTTATGGATGTTTTCCAATGACAAGGAGATTGAAGAGCCAGTTGAAACAATTTATCACGAGGGAGTGTAGGAAGCACTTGGACTGAACCTTGTCTCATCCAAGTCAATGCTTTAAATCCGTTTGGCCGTGGAAAGCTGCTCCAGCACTCCCAAATCTCGTTCTTTTCCACCCCACAGCTTTTTGTGAAATTGGCCACGTCAAAGACGGCAGTGGAGGATTCTGGTGAGGAGCTCGGCCCACTCCCGGGGGAGGATTGGTGGTGAGGTTTACAATGCCCTAGATTCCTCTCGGAGGTAATTGTTATACATTTTACAATAAACAATGTGTGACAAGGCAGTAGCATTAACAAGGCATATCAGAAGCAAGGAAGGGAGAGAAGTCGAGGGAGGAATGTCTCAGAAAATGAGAAATTGGGAAGAAGCAAATGAAGCCTCAGGTTTGGGGTACGGTCGTCTTAGGTCTTGCCGCCTTAATGTGTGAGCAGTGGTAGTGGAGTGTGTGTGGGAGGAAGGTGCAGTTGTGGTTTTTGATGCTGTCAGCCACTCTACACACAACCATGTCCCAGTACCATTCACACAGCTGTCGCTATCTTTGAACCCATTTATGGTCTTCATTTTCATTGACCCACTTACCCAGGTATGATGCTATTCTCCAGAGACTGACCCTTCCTGATCGCATGTCTGAATACATGATATAAGTCTTGTCATCCTCACTTCTAAGGGGTGGTCGGTCGTGTGGTACGTTTTCTTCTGGCAGTGCCTGGTAGAGTCAACATTCTTCACCATCATCATAATCCAAAGGCATCAATTATGTCCTCCCTATGAGCTTCCCAGCTTTCACCTGAATATAATGAGAATACAAAGGGTTGGGTCAGTTGCACCTCAGTCCTCAAAGTAATATCTTTGCTTTTAAATACTTTAAAGATTTTTTTTTTTTGCAGCATACCCTTTCAATTCAAATGGCATTGTTGTTAATGTGGCATCAAGTTGCCTGTGACTCATAGCAACCCTGTGTACAATAGCTCTGAAGCCTCCCCTGCCCTGAGCCAGTTTCACTGATTCCAACACACCTACCCCCATTACTCCAGTTGCTGTATCAGTCCATCTCATCTGGGGTCTTCCTCTCCTGTGCTGTTCCTCCACCTTCCTGGTTACATTCCCAAAATATGTGAGACAGAGCTTCAAAGTCCTATTTGTTTTCTTGGCAATCCATGGTATGTTCAAGACTCTTCTCCAGCACCACAACTCAAATACATCGATTCTTCTTCTGTCATCCTTAGTCACTGTACAGCTCTCTGGTGCATAGTAAGTAATTGCAAAGATCATGGCCTGGATCAAGTGCACCTTAGTTTCTAGACTGACATTGTTGCTTTTTAGTACTCTGGAAAGGTCCCTGACAGTGGATTTTCCCAGTGCAATTCATCTTTTGATTTCCTGACTGCTGGTGCCAACAGTGTTGATTGTGGAGCCAAGAAAGCTGTAAGTGTTAACAACTTCAATCTCTTCTCCATCCACCAGTTGGCCCAGTGATGAGAATCTTTGTCTTCTTGATGTTGAGCTCCAATTAATATTGAAGAATATAGTCCTTTACCTTCTGCAGCAAGTGCTTCAGGTCCTCTTCAGTTTTGTCAAGCAAGGTTGTGTCATCTGTGTAATGTAGGCTATTGATTAGTCTTCTTCCAATCCCAATGCCACATTCCTCCTCATAAAGCCCAGCTTCTCGAATGATCTGTTCTGCATATTTCCATGGCTGTTTCCAAGGATATTGATAGTAGATCCAAGTGAAATAAATGTTAATAACTTCAGTATTTTCTGTATTTATCATGACATTGCTTATTTGTTCAGTTGTGAAGATTTTTGTTTTATACTGAGATGCTATTTATATTGAAAGTTGAAATTTTTTAATATCTGTATAGATAAGTACTTCAAGTTCTCTTCACTTTCGGCAAGCAAGGTTGGGTCATCTACATGTTTTAGGACATTACTAAGCATATCCTCCAATCCTGAGTTCTTGATACAGTTCAGTTTCTTGGAGTATTTGCTCAGTGTACAGACTATGTATGGGGGAGGCAGCAGGGGCTTGATAATCCAACTGGTCACTATGATTTACTGCGTTGTTGTTGTTGTTATGTAACACTGAGCTGGAACCAACCCTTACCTGTATGAGGCAGTAAAGCACATGCATGATTGCCCATCTTTCTCCTGTGGAGCAGCTGGTGCATTGGAACTGCCTGCCTTTGAGCTGGCAGTGTAACTCCTTACCACTGAGCCACCAATGCTCCCTACGATTTATTGGGAACATCTATTTCTTCTCCATCTCCTTCACTGTCTGTGTTTTCATCATATTTTTATACCTTGACTGTGCACAGGAGAGCCTTTGGCGTTTGACGAGTGAGAGGATAACAAGGTGTTAGCTTTTCTCTTTCTTATTATCTCAGCCAGCAAAGGAATTAGATTTGTGGGACATTTGTTCTAGAAGTGATGTTAAAACTTTTTCCTCCTCTCACTCACTGGTTCAGATTTGGTTCCGACTTCCAGCTGACCCTCTTTCAGGCTTTCAGAGGAGAAAGAGCTCATTTTCAAGCACTCAAAGTTCGTTTCAGTCTTAGGAACTCTTACTCAGGAGCCCTGGCTGTGTAGTGTTTAACACACTGCATCACTTTCAAACGTCAGCAGTTTGAATCCTCTGTCTTCTCCAAAGGAAGACTATAGACGGTCTCCTCCCCTGGAGAGTCACATCCCTGAACACTGATGGAGAGCCCCTGACTTTGAAGTGACTCGAAGGAAAAATGGCCATGTTGTGAGGTCCTCTCTTTATTGCAATGAAAGATCTAAGCCAATTGTTTGGAAGAGCTTCTGATTTTTATCCCATCTTGTAGGAAACACATTTCTGAATCCCAAACTAAAGTAACGTGGCACCCCTTGAAGTTTCAGGGTAGTTATATTCTCTACTCCTGTGATAATTTCCCTGAAAAGGAGAAGAACTCAGATCTATTGAAGAGTCTGAAGAAACTGGCACCAATTCCTAGTCCAATTTCACTTCTCCTTCCTTGGAGTGCAAGGATTTCTTGCTAACTGTACAATTCAGTAAAAGAAGTTGAGGCCTACCTATCATGACATCACAGTAATTTTATGAGCGTGACGAATGCCAGTATAACTTCACAGTGTTGAGTGCTTTTGGGAAGAGGGGGAGCGTATCTATGGTTTCCTCTCAGCTCACATAGAGTCTCTTTCTTCTCTTGACAAAAGCATGCGAGGTGGGTCAAGGAGCTGCCTTCCTGTCTGGCTGCTGAATCCAGTCTCCTCCTTTCTGTTGCAGATAAAGCCTACATGACGCATGTCAGCACGCTGGACAAGGTCCGAGAAGAGTGGCAGAGCGAGCACATCAAAGCTTGTGAGGTACCCAGGCCCCAGAAGCTGCTCTAGAAGGGAGTGTCTTCCTCTCAGAGCCTGAGACTCTCCTTTGTAGAGAAGCCTCTCCCCCTCACTTTGTTGTCAATACCATGGAACCGACTCAGAGCTGACGTCCAGTGGGTTTTCAGAGGCCGTAAATCTCATAAGAAGAGAGTGCCCACCTTTCTTCCTCAGAGCAGCTGATGGAGTCAAACCATGTCCATTGTGTTGACAGCCAACCCCTTAGCACGAGGCCACTAGGGTCCCTCCCCTTCACTGTAGAGCCCCAGTTCTCACAGCGTTAACAAGTTTCAAGACAAGCTAGAAATCAGAAATGTAAGCTGCGCATGGAACAAACTGGAATTTCCTAAATATCATCTTTCTGCCTTCATCTATCTTTGTTTTATTGTTCCATGATCTATTATTGTATTACATGTTGTTGTTACTGTTGTTAGGTGCCGTCGAGTCATAGACGACTCATAGCGACCCTACAAATGAAAGACCTGAGCACTGTTCATAGAGTTTCCAGAAGCAAGCCATTTTGGAAGTGGATGCCACTCCTGCTTCCAAGCTTGTTTTAATCGGGAAGCTCCACCAAACACTGTCTACCATGGCTAACCATTCTCACATTTGGCACATCAGTGTCACAGTGTTTAGCATCACAGCAACCACGAGTTACCTCTGTACAGCAATGCACAGACCAGTGCTATACCACCTAGAAGAATGTTTGATAGAAAAACAATTTGAACCAGGCCTGAGGGCCGCAGATTAGAATCACCCACCTTGGGCTTGGTAGCATCACTTTTTTTGTATTACATACTTGATAAAATACAAAGCCAAATGCTCACACCCCTTACTTTCAGTGAGAGGAAATTACACACGTTCTGAAGTAGACTTGGCCCTTTTCTGTGTGTAGTAGGCCCTTGTTGTTGTTGTTAAGTGGTGTCGAGTTGTAGACGACTCATAGCGACCCTATATAGGCCTTTACGTACATAAATTTTGTATTCCCAACTACACAAATGGACCTTCAGGCAAAGCATAGAGAAAGAGAAATGAATTGGGGGACTTCAGAACCATCAAGAAAGACTTCCCATGTGCAACCACGAATGAATAAAAGTTTGTGGGTTGTTTTTTTTTAAAAAAAAAGATAAAGGAATTGTCTTGCTCTATCTTGTGTAAATATTTGGTGGACAGTGTTTGGTGGAGCTCTCAGTTTAAGACAGGTTTGGGAGCAAGAGTGGCATCCACTTCCTGAATAACATGCCCCTGGAAACTATAAACTTTGAGAAATGATGATAGTTCTAGGAAGGCTTCAGGTCTTTTGTTGATTGGGTCGCTATGAGTTGTGTTTGACTTGATGGCAATTAACAACAACAACAACAAAGAATCATATTATTAATAGGAAGGAAGGAAAATAATTTAAAAAGACAAGAATTTTGTAAATAAACTAGTGTTAGAAAAGAATAAATATCTCAAGGGGGGAAGACAAGAAAAACTCTTGATTAAGGAATGGAGTATCTGTTGCCTATAACAAGTAGCTGAATGCATCCCCACGTATACTTAGGATGTTGTCCGTCATAGCTAACACTTGGTGTTGGTGATGGTTGTTGTGTGCCATCAAGTTAGAACCAACGCACAGCTGATGCTCTAGTGGGTTTTCAAAGGCAGAAAATGAATTGCACAGGAGGAGATTGGCCATCTTTGTCCCACAGAGCAGCTGGTGGATTCAAACCACATGTCTTTAGGTTGACTGCCTTCCCAGCAGGCCACCAGCATTCCCAAACATTTAATTAGAGTGAGCATAAAACAATGGAAACAACTAATGAATGATTAAGTGATTAAATTTTGTAAGTTCCGTCTGTATGAGTTAGGTGCTAAGAAGATGCACTTGCAGATGAAAGGGGGGGGGAACTGAGCAGGGGATGGGAAGTTGGGAGGTGAGATGGGTGAATAGGATTGACTGAAAGTTAATAAATGTTCATAAATGCTGGTTATTTGTACAAGGGAGTTCATGATAATATTTTCTCTATTTTTATGTATCTTTGAAGTATTACATTATAAAATGTGAAAAATGAAACATTTTAAAAGTTATGTTTAAAATGAATCATAGGTAAAATTCATTAGCTGTGGTATTTATAATTTATATAGCACCTTAATATGTAGTATCCACTGTTGAAAACGTTGTAGAATAGATTGATTTTCCAAAAGTTGGCATTTATTTGTACGCAAAACCTATTATTCAGGTAGTGACTTTTATTTTTAATTTAAAAAAATATAAATTCAAAACTATATGAAGATGAGAATTCTCATGTTTTCTTCAAGCAATTTCAGCAATAATGACCAACAGTTGAGCTTGCCAGTCAAGTTCATTCATCCTTGGGGGTTGGTAAGGTTTTTGAATCTGATACTCTGGCAGGCTGCTTAGTAGAGAGGCCCATTAAAAAAAAGAAACCCAAAGCACATTGCTGACCAAGAGAGTTCTGACTCGTGACAACCTTTAGACAGAGTAGAACTAATTGCCCCAAGGGGTTTCCATGATTGTAATCTTTATGTAGATGCAGACTGCCAAGTCTTCCTCTCTGAGTCACTGGATGGGTTTGAACCACCAACCTTTTGGCTAGCAGCCAACACTGAAATATGTAAGGACTCCTTGGAGAGTATAATTACTGTGTGCTGTCGAATTGGAACTGAGCCGTAGCTGATCCTCTAGTGGGTTTTCAGGAGCAGTAAATCAATCGCACAGGAGAAATTGCCCACTCCAACTGACAATTAGGCATTTGGAAATGTGAGCTGGGACTCAAGTTAGTGCACTAGTGTCAATGATCCTCCAATTACATCCAATTCTGTTATTAAGTGTTAAAATCTATTTCAATTCTGTGTTTTAAGAGTGTTTTAGCTCTGGGTGGTAGGCCAGCCGTTTATCACTGAATCAACTTTGACTTACAGTGACCTTGAGTGTGTCAGAGTGCAATTGTGCTGTTTAGGATTTTTAAAGACTGGCCTTTTGACAATTGATTGCCAGGCCTTTCTTCTGTGGTACATCTAGATGGACTTAAACATATAACCTCTTGCTATACAACTGAATCCACTGACCATTTGTACCACCCAAGGCGCTGGGAATAAACGAATAAACCTCCTACTTCCTACTGGCGAGTAGATTCCGCCTCGTTGTGATGTTGTGACCCTCCGTCGGGTCTGTAAATTGCAGCAGGAGGAGATTGTCCATCTTTCTCCTCCTGAGTGGCCAGTGGATTTGAACCACCTGAGACACAGTCTTTAGGTTAACAACACAGCTTGCTATGAACTATGTCAAGACTGACAGTCACATCAGTCTAAACAAAGGGTTTCTTTTGTCTCTGCACATGTATCTACATGTAATTATGTTTCTGTAGGTGTTTGAGGCTCAAGAATGTGAACGGATAAACTTCTTCCGGAATGCCCTGTGGTTACATCTGAATCAGCTGTCACAACAATGTGTCACAAGCGATGACGTAAGTCAGAGGCAGCCTGAGGACTGAGGCTCTGCATATTGAATTCATAGACTGGAAGGAGCCATAGATATTTATTTGCTCAGCTTCTTCATCTGAGACTCACAGAGGTCAAATTCTTGCCCAAGGTCAAATGACTGCATCCTGGACCAGTTTACCACCATGTTGTTCTCTGTGAGAGTTCAGAGGGAGGGCAGGAGAGCAGAGAAGGGAAACCCCAAATCAAGCTTAATTTATGGACGACAGAGATGCCACACCTGGAACCTGTTCCGGTCTCCAGTGGGGTTACTCCAGGACAGCACAAAGTGCTCACAGACACATGCAGACCTATCTGCTGAGGTCTGAGTGCACTGAAGCTGGCCTGAGCTTGTGGTCATTCTAGGACCCAGAATTTACTTTCGGGTTATTCCTAAAGCCATAACCCAGGTTTAAGTCTGGCACAGCCATTGGGTCCCCAGACCTCAGAAGAAGGGACTCAGGTCATTAGAACCTCCTTTGCCAATATCCACTCCTTGGGTCCCCAGACCTCAGAAGAAGGGACTCAGGTCATTAGAACCTCCTTTGCCAATATCTACTCCATTTAAAGATGACAAAACCCACCCCTCCCCCAAAAATATCCACTCCACTCCATTTAGACAATAGACTCACACTCAAAGAATAAACATGTGGAAAACTTGTAGGATTGAAAGGAAGTGTTTTCTCCAAGTGAAGTAATTGTTTTTGCATTTGTGTATGATATTAGTTTTATGTTGAGAGTTGGTATATTTTTTTTTCTGGTTGCATCAATATATTTTTAAAATCTTTTGGGCAAAGACTTTGTGCTGTCACAAAGACACAATTATTATTTAAATTTAATAGTAGTGTTGTACAGAGAATCCCTTTGTTTTGGTCCAGGACTTGATAATATCCAGTCTTTGCTTTCAAAGTTAAATCCAAAAAAGAGTCATCCATCCACCCAATTCCCTGTTGTAATGGGCTGTGTGACAATTTGACAATTGACATGGACTATTGGTTTATCTCCTTTTTGTTAGATGTATGAGACGGTCCGTAAGACCCTGGAAATGTGCAGCATTGAGAAAGACATTGAGTACTTTGTGAATCAGCGAAAAACTGGGCAGAGTCCACCAGGTAAATGGGTGGTGGGAGCATGGGGATTGTCTGAGCTATTCAGTTAGCCTTTCTTGTCACACTGTTGGCCATGCAAGACACTTGTGTACCGTCGAGTCATTTGCAACCCTATGTACAATAGCCCTAAACTCTGCTCTATTCTGTGCCAACCTCACTGTCTCCAACACACTTACTCCCATTACCCCACTCACTGAATTGATCCATCTCATCGAGGGTCTTCCTCTCTTGCGCTGTCCCTCCCAAATATGACATCCCTCTCCAAGGACTGATCCCTCCTTGCAACATGTCCAGAGTCTGTCAGATGAAGCTTCAGAATTCTTGTCCCCAAGGAGCAGCCTGGTTTAACCCTCTCAAGAACGAACCTGTTTGTTCTCCTAGCAGTCCATGGTATATTCAACACTCTTCTCCAGCACCACAGCTCAAAAGCATCAATTCTCTTTCTATCGTCCCTAGTCACTGTCCAGCTCTCTGACGTATAGCACGCAATTGCAAAGCCCATGGCCCAGATCAGGTACACCTGAGTCTCCAGCCTGACATCATTGCTCTAGCTTATTAATATTTTGTTTCTTGATGATTCTCATAGCACCAATCATGTATGAGAACTTCTACTGCCCCCAGAAGAATGCAGCCCCCCCAGGAAAGACTTCAGGACCTAACCCAGCAAGGTAGGAACTTTCACAAGAAGAAAAATTCCCTTTTTTAAAAAAAAACCCTTATTTTTGAATATTGTTATTGAGATGTTACAGCAAAACATACACCAACTGGATGGAAACCCTTTTGATAAACACTTTATCATTAATATTTTTAGACATATTAGAACATGTACATATTAGTCATATTAGTGAAGATGCTAGATTATAAAAAAATTTTTTAAAGGAACTTTGGTGGCCTAAGGGGCAAGTAGTTGCGCTGCCATCCAAAGACATCAACTGCTCTGTAGGAGAAAGATGGGGAATCTTCTCCCATGTGTTTTACAACCTTTAAAAACTCATTGGAGGGTCAACTATGTGTTGACAAGTTCCAACTCAACTGCACATAACAACAAATCAAATGACCCAGAGCTGACCCAGGTTTTCAGAGGCAGTAAATTGCATGAGAGGAGACTGCCCATCCTTCTCCCAGCTGTTGTATTCCAACTGAGTGCCTTTGGGATTGCAGCACAGCTTCTTACCACTAAGCTAACAACAGCAACATCATTGTCCGAGGAATGTGGTAATTAGTGCTCATTTGTGAATACTATGCCTTATTAGCCAGTTGTTAATAACTACAACCTTCTGTGGATCAAGTTCGAGCTTTGTGCTTTTGTAAGACCTCTAAGGTTAGTTTTGAAAATATTTTTAAGTGACTGAAAAAAGAGTCTGTTCTGTGTCCCATGAAAATGATGTGAAAGTCACATTTAAGTATCCACATATAAACTTTTATTAAAACATGACCCCATTTGTATTTTGTCTCTTTTTGTGGTATACTTGAGGCATGACAGAGGCTGTATCTAATCAGCAAAGTCTAAAACATTTATTAATTGGCTCTTTACAGAAAAAGTTTGCTGTCCCCTGTTACAAAGGATCCTGAGACATAAAAAAAAGTCTGTTTCATATAAAGTCAGCTTGAAATCTAAGCTGTTGAATTCTCAGCCCAGTTTGGTAAAGACAATGCAGTGGGGGAAAGGCTTGCTTGATCATCATCAATATTTCATAATGCCAGGGATTATTCCAGCCCATCTACATGAATTAACCCACTTACCCCTCACAGGAAGGAACCCTGGTTATCTACTGTGTTACACCGTTGTTGTTATATACCATGGAGTGGGAACAAATCAATAGCTTACCCTCCAGTGGGTTTTAAGAGGCAGTAAATCACAGGGCTGGGGATTGCCCATCTTTCTTCCACGGAGTAGCTGGAGAATTTGAACCACATATCATTGGGCTGATAGCTCAGTTCTTCACTTCCATGACACCAGAGCTCCTTCAGTGTGTTACATAGTAACACTAATGTAACCTAATCTGAAAGTCAGGGGTTCAAATCCACCAGGTGATCTGTAGAAGAAAGATGAACTATCTCTACCCCCCCACACCACTTACATAGGGATTTACAGACTTTGAAACCTGATGGGCAGATTGCCATGGGTCCAAATTGACTCAATGGCAATGTTGTTGTTGAGTACCATTGAGTCAGAACCAACCCACAGCTGACCCTCCAGCGGGTTTTCAGAGGCAGTAATCGCATGGAAAGAGATTGCCCATTCTTCTCCCATAGATTTGGTTTTAGTTTAATACTCAAAAGAGGGTTTAAGGACTTTGAGGTAGAAGGCCTTTGTCTCTATAATTTTATACACGAAGATAATGGATGCAGAAGACAATCAGAGGATTTTCCCACTAAACTGATATTTTGATCCTCCCAGTCCCTAGAGGCAGAAGTCTGTGCTTCTAAGTGCTGAATGGTCCTGCCTCTCAGCATAACGTCCTGTGTGACGTTCAGTAGGTCGGTGGCACAGATCTTTGCTTGCCTAAGCTTTTATTAACCCTACAGAGCGGAAATAGGGCATGAAGTGCAAAATTACAAGCATTCAAGAATTTACCTGAAACACATTGATTTTCATTTCTTCTAGGAGAGGACCACTCCCGATTCCTAGAAGTTTACCAGGTATGTTGACAAGAAACTCCTTCTGAAAAGCTTATGACAGATTTTCTTGAAGGTTACATAGCTAGAATATTAAAATAAAGGTCAAGAAAAGAACAAATAGACTAAAATTCCTCAGAAATTAAGTCTGTATTAGACATTTACTCCAGGATGACCTAACACCACCAGCAACAAAAGACTATTTCTACAAAGTGGAATTTGGTGGTTATGCTCTATTTGATAGTTTCTCCAAGAGAATTCAGCTACTGAAATGTCAAAAGATCTTACTATATGACAGTTTTAGTGAAGAGATTATTTCAACTTGTGTTATGAGAACAGCAAAATGAGTTCCACAGAATTCCATGTAAATAACATTTACAGGAAATAGAAATCCGTACAGGGGTCCTTGTCCGCCATAGCACAATGGGTAAGATCTGAGGTGCTGCCCAGAAAGTTTTCTAAATCTTCTGTAACAATTACACGCTGTAAATGACACGGGAGGAGATTGACTATCTTTCTCCTACAGAACTAACTGGTGGATTCAAACCGCCTGCCTTTGGGCGAGCAGCACAGCATCTTAACCACTAGGCCACTAGAACTCCATTTATATCTGAATGTGAGGAGCCATGGCAGTTAAACACTGGGCTATGAACTACAAGGTTGTTGGTTAAAATTCAGAAGCCATTCTCTAGGATAAAGATGTGACAATTTGCTTTTACAAAAATTACAGTCTTGGAAGCCCTCGGGGGGCAATTCAACTCTGTCCCATAGCATCACTGTGTGTCAGAATTGACTCAACAGCAATGAGTTTTGACATATGTTTGTGATGTTGATGAAGAGTGTTGAATATACTATGGACTTCCACCTCTCTCTTTCATTACTATCATTTCAGAACCAAATCATAGCTGACCTTTCTGTGGGCTTCCCATAACTGACCCTTCTATGGGCTTCCAATAGCTGTCCCTTCTGTGGGCTTCCCATAGCTGACCCTTCTGTAGGCTTCCAAGACTTCCCAGCATGGGAGGAGGTTGCCCCTCTGTGTCTCCCAGAGCTGCTGGTGGATTCGAATCACCAGAAGAATGGTGCTTTTGAGTTAGCAGTGCAGCTCCTCACCAGAGCTCCTACAGGATAAGGAACTTTGCTCAAATAGGCTTTGGATCTCCTTTCAGATGTGGGGTCTAGCAGAGACTCTGTCCTAAAGCACCACTCCCCTCTAAAATGCCGGCCCAATGCAAGGCAATCCTTGATTTTGTTTGTAACTACCATTAGTATTTTAAGTTTTGTTGCCAAATAGGTTTTTTTCCCCCTTCTCAAAACAAAGCAACCAGAAAATTACTTAAGTGGAATAACCTGGTTTGAGAAGGGCTAGAATTTTTCCATGAAAAATATTGGCTTGGGGGAGAGGGAGGAAACTGTGCAACAATGAAATAATTTTTTTTCCAAAGAGAAAAGTGAACTAGGGGTGGGTTGGGTAGGGAAGAAAATGTGCAACTATGAATGAATGGAAATCAAAGTTCTCTATAAACTCTATAAAAGAAAAATACTGGCTTAATGTTGCTCTGGAGCTCTGATGACCTACTGGTAAAGATCTGTACTGCAATCCCAAAGGCCTGAGGTTCGAATCCACCAGCTGCTCCACAGGAAAAGAATGGGCAGTCTCTTTTTGTGCAATTAACTCTGTCTTAAAAGCTGCTGGAGGGTCAACTATGGGTCAGTTCTGACTTGATGGTTAACAACAACAACAACAACAACAACAACAACAATGTTGCTCTGTGCTCTGTCTTTTGCAGATGACCCTGATTACTCTTTGATTGACAACTACAGTTTGCTTTACCAGTAGCATCCATGGTAAGCATCTTCAATTCTCATATAATCACATTTAGACTTGAGATTGTTCCTTAGGCCTTTGAAACCATGAGCAAATGGTGAGGAATTGGTGTTCTAAGCTATGAAAAATAGAATGCGATGATGGTAAAGAATAGGTATTTTAACAAATAATTGATGTATTAATGTTATTATTATTATGAAAACAAATTTTCAATCCAAGTGTTATACCTTGTCTTTCCATAATACAAAGAATGTTAAAAGTAAAAATGGAAACAGCAGATAAATTAGTAATTGTAGAATCCAAGTTGTCTTCATTACATAGAGATGATTGGCTAGTGCTTTTTTATATTTAAGTGCTTAAATTGCTTAAGAAATATATTTGACATTTGAGCAAATTTGCTGTGAAATGGAAAGTGAAGACAAAATATTTCAATTTCCTGAGCTAAAACCAAATTGTGGTCCTTATGATTCATCCCGTTTTCTTCTTCTTTTCACAAGCTTCCCTCTTTCTTCCTCAAATGATCCCTGAATGGTACGAATGATTTGAGTTTGAGTGTTAGCTGAAAGGTTGGCAGTTCAAACTCACACAGTAGCACTATAAGAGAAAGGCCTGTTAACTTGCTTCTATAAGGATTGCAGCCTAGAAAATCCAATGGAGTAAACATTTTTTAAAACATATTTTTAGTTTATCTATGCATCTAAAAAGAGGAAGAGATGACGATGGAAAACCCAACTCAGTAATATGGAGTTACCATTAGTAGGAATCAATTCAATGGCAAGGTGTTTTAGTTTTCTTTTCCCTTATGGCCTAAGTTAAAGAAGGAGCAAAAACATGGGCTATGGATTACGGGATCGGGAGAGGAGATCTGCTCTCTGGAATGTCGTGTGGATGCTGGCTGTGGGACAAGGTGCTCACAGCTCCTGCTCTTTTTATATTTTTCTTTCCTGCATTTCTGATTTGGATGAAGTGCATATTTTAGTTTAATAATAGCATTTGACCTGATAACCCCACTTTTTCCAAACTCAATAATATGATGTTTGAATGGAAGGTGTTAATAGTAACATTTTTCTCCACTTATTTCTCCTAAATTATTAATTCCACTACATAGGGTTAGTGCCCTGGCCAGTTCAGTAAATAGGGGCTCAGTATATACATATGTAACTGACTGTATGTAAGAGCGTTTGAAGAAGAGGTTTTAGCTTAGTTAATAACTTACAGAAGCATTTAAAATCGTTTCAACGAATCATGTTAGGTGTCTTCAAGCTGATTGTGACTCCTAATCACCTGTGAACAATGGGTCTGAACTTTGCTAAATCCTGTGCCATCCTTATCATCTCTGATAGTTGAGCCCCTTGTTACTGTCACTGGGCCAATCAACCTCCCTTGGGGTCTCCTCTCTTTCGCTGACCCTCCATCTTTCTAAGCATGATGACCTCATCCAAGGAATGGCCCCTACTTAATAACATGCCCAAAATATGAAAGAATGGAAATGGAAACAGAAAGGTTGGGGAATTTATCATATGTCCTGCATTTGTTTTTTGTTACTCTTGCTATTTTTACATGCATAAGTACACTAAAAATATGTTTCAAAAAATAAAAGATACAAGTAATCTTTACCAATGTAGTGCTAGTATCCTCACATTCCATTTTTCAGGGCTTGGGACATCCATTCCCTACTATTTGTTTTTCTAAGTCAAGCACATTTATTCTTGTTGAAGGTAGGAGAGTTGCTGATTTGAAGGACTCATTCAAATAAAATGTTTTTGCTGCTTTCTTCTAGATATGTCAGTTGATGCTTCTATCGTCTGGAAGAAGGCACTCAGGAGAGCAGCTTAACTGATAGCCAGAGTGCATCACTCATGAAGACATTCTAGTGAATCTTTACAGTCATTCTTTGATATTTTAAATTTATGGTAGACATAGAGTTCAACTTAAGCTAGTAGGAGTCTAAAGTTTTCTGGAGTTTACAAACTTCCCAGACTGAAGAACTATGCTTTCCTAGTCAGTGACTAAAGTTGTAAATGAATCGTGTTTTGTATTTGGGAAGCAAGAGAAGTTTCTGGATTTGAAGCAGAGGAATGTGAATTGTCACCTGCAGGAGAATCACCTTTGGATCTAGAAGGCATTGCCTTGGCTGTGGAATTTCCACGGGAGGCCACGCTCAAAAGTGCAAGTGTTTTAAATCACTTCCTTTTTTCTTGGGTGGGAGACGTAGAGGTCATCTAACTACACTTTTATCAGTTGATGATGAGGAAACCAGATCCAGAAATGCTAAACCAATTTCTGAACTGTTCTCCTAGCTAGTTGGGAACAGAACCAGCTGGAGAGGGCCTGGGCTTATCCCACATCACGTCCTCCTGCTTGAGATACCAGCTCAGGCTGGAATTTAAGATGCCAGATATTGTTGCCAGCCTTTTTTTTTCTTTCCGCAATTACCAGGGTTTAAATGTCAGGTTTATTTTTATACATATCACCGTGTGTACTGAACTTGATCCAGTTTAAGAAGACGTTACTTGTACAACACACCATTATTTTTATGTACCACTAAGAAGGTGGAGGGAGGGAGTCGCTAATACCTGTGACAAATCTTTGACAGCTAAGTTCATGAGAAATCTGAGACTTCAAATTGTGGAAAATATGTTCTCTGTGTGTTAAAGTCAACAGGGACAATATTGTTGGGCCATTGATCATGGGGTCTCAGGATCATAGATTCAGGGGATACCACGGTCATTTGGCATAACATAATTCCTCAAGGATAGTGTTCTACATGCTCCACTAGTGAGTCATAACTAAGGACCTAAAATCTCTCAAGTGGTCATCTAAGGCACAACCATTGGTTTTTGCCTTCCTGGAGCAAAGAGGAATGAAGGAAATAATAGTTGCACGGACATATTTGGCCCATTGAGAATCTGGTGATTCTCAATTTTCATGACTTTAAGAGCAGAATAACTATATGGTGCCTGGCTACTAGTGCTTACTGCCTTGGAAGAGGTCATGATAGAAAGTTCTAGACAGAGTAGATGTAAATGTAGGACAAACATAAAATCAAAACATTGGCCAGACTTACTGGTCTGAGAAAGGCATCTGGAACCCTCGAGACTCCGGTTCTTTGAACTTGGAACTGAACATGGTGGCCAACTTTCAGTCAAATGATAGGTCAATACCAAGGAGATGAACAGCACTTAGAACGCTCAAGCACACGAGATCACAAGGGCAGCCTTTGTCCAAACAAGACTGGGAAGCTCGGAGGGGAAAGGTTGGAGGGATGAATGGAGGGCAGGAAACAGAGAAAGACAGAGGGAAGAATGATGATACAATGTGGGGATTGCAACTGATGTCATCAAACAACATGCATATGAATGTTTAAAAGAAGTATCAATCTGCTATGTAAACTTTAAATCATAATAAAATGTACATCTTAGAATAAATATATTTTGACTTGAAAATTTTCTAGCTGTAAAGTCAATCTTCAATGCTGGGTCTTCACAGAATATGTTTCTTTTGCTAGACCTTGGAATCAAGCGTCAGTTTTACCTTTTCACAAATATATAGGTCTTCCTTTTGTCATCCACAAGTAGTAAGAAAGTTAGGTACTTTTTTTAAAAAAATTTTTTTTTACATTATTCACACACTGTTAGAAAAAAGTAGGTTTTAATGAATAATAAAATAGTCTTGGACTATATATACACAGTATACAGTCAGGAAATAAGGAGATGCATCATACGGGGGAAATCTGCCTTTGGGGACCTCTGCAAATTACTGAGGAGTGATGATGTCAGTTTGAGGACTAAGGTTTGTCTGATTTAGGCCATAGTCTTTCCCGTTACTTGCTATGCAGCTGAGAGCTGGACAATGAATAAGGATAACAGGAAAAGAATGGATACTTTTGAGTTGTGATGTTGGAGAAGAACACCAAACATTGCATGGATGGCCAAGAGAACAGATATGTCATAGGGTGCAGCCAGTGTGCTCTTTGGAGGCAAGAATGATGAGGCTTTACCTCATATACTTTGGGAATGTTGCTAGGAGGGGCTATTCCTCAGAGAAGGACATGATGCTGGGAAGGGTGGAGGGTCAGTGAAGGAGAGGAAGACCTTCAACCTGGATTGACACGGTTACTGCTGCAATGGGCTCTGCAATGGTGCAGGACAGAACAGGGTTCAGATCTTTTATTCACTGGGTTGCTGTGAATTGTACTCGACTTGGCAGGACCTAACAACAGCAACAACAATATACTGTCAAGTTCTCTGTGATAACAGAAAGCAAATGTTTTTGTTTTTCTCCCCTGCTCTATGTTACTGCTTTCCCAGGACTAAGGGCACATTTGCTGAAAGAAGATTGAGTATCCTCCACCCTTCCTTTAGTGTAAGGTGCTCCGGAACAGCACTAGCTTCTTCGCAGAGCAGGAAACTTGCATCAGCTTAGTATCCTTTTGAGAAACTAACTTGTGCACAGGGTCACTGACTTCCCCAAACTGAAGTGACTCAAGAAACCTCCCTTCTAACTCAGAGCATTCGAAAATAGTTATTGGTGTCTATTCCCTAGAGATTTCACGTTCTCTCAATTGGTCAGTGTAATCAATGTAAAGGTGTTTTGCGAATGGAAGAGAATATATTTCGTTTTTCTTTTAGTTTGACATGAAGAAAGAGACATTTTGGTAATTTGGAATTTGTTTTGTATTTTTGTGTTAGCCCAGTTGCTTTTCTAAGCTTTACCTCACTCCTTGTCACATTTGCTACTGTTAAACCACTGAAGGATGCCACATGGAAGCTGATATCTTTCCACTCCTCCTTCCTTCAGCTGTCGTTTATAATGTCTCTTCCTCACAGAGCCCTCTAGATGAGGTTGAATTGCATAGCTTTACCCTTCTTCTCATTCAACTCTCACTTTTTAAAAAAAGTTATAAAATCCAATGTATTAGCTCACAGACCACACAGAACCAAGTCCACTGCATATTTTATATATTTATGACTTTTTAAAGCAAATTTTATTGTTGTTGTGTACCATTGAGC